TAAGGTACAAACCTGCTTTATTCTTAGCCCCAGAGCTGCGGTGACAACCACAGCTCTGCGTCACTGCAGACCTCTGGGTTAGGAATTGGGCAAATGCAGCCATTTCGGGTCACATAGCTACAGACTGGCCACCCAATAACAATTTTCACCATGTACCAGCCTGAGTCCACTCGAACCAGTGACCAGTATCGGGGAATCCCTTAAAGGCAGCATTTTATTGCAATTAGCAGCAATACACTGATGGAGCAAGGCTCAGATTCTCAGCAGCACCAGCAATAGGCAGCACGACGGCAGTTTGCATTGGCTCCGTTTCTTGCAGGCAGTGGTGTTAAGTGCTCTGGTAGATCAGTTATTCTGATAATAAAACAGTTGCTTGTGCAGGCAATTGGGCTCAGTCACTTTCAAAGGACAGATGTTGCCACAAAGGCTTTCATCGTTGGCTTTCTGAGCAAAGCATATCCTCCCTGCCCAGAGCAGCAACAGGTTTACCACAAAATACTTCTCGCATTTGATGTCTGCAGAGGCAGGTGTTACTCACCCAGCTGCCGCATGCAAACGTGCTCCTGATGGGATAGCAGGGAGAAAAACCTGAAGCCACTGCTGCTGGAGATGCCCATCCTCGTGTGGCACCCGGGTGTCCAAAGCAGAGAGCAGCCTTGGGGCTTTTTTTGCGCTCTGCTTCTCAGCAGACAGACTTGCTGCAGGTCTGGGGTCAGCTTGCCTTGTCGTGAGACCAGGAGCTGTGTGTTTTGGTGGGTGCTGGGGTCCAAGGCTGCACCGTTCACCTTCATCAGCATCACCTCACCTCCAGCCATCTGCTGAGAGGAAGTGAGAGCTGTCACACACCTACACGGGGACTTCTGCAAAGTGTCAGAGCTCCTGGCATGCACACGCAGCTGCCTTGGAGAGAAGTGTCAGGAGGAGATGCCTCAAGCTCACAGACCTGCTCCGTCCCCAGCTGGCATCAGCAGTCCACCGGTTACACCAGGAGAACCGAGCTGAGATCCAGAGTCACCTCCCAGAGATGCTCCTGATCGCTGCCCACCAATCTCCCCAAACCTGAGCTGAAGAAGCACTTCTGCACCACACCACCCTCGCCTCCATGGTGGGTGCTTCCCCTCAGGTGGAGGGCAGCAGCAGCAGATCCTCTCTCCTCGCTATCCGCCCTGCCTGCAGCTTAGGAGCTCATGGAAACACACACAAACCCAAAGCTGGGGTAAGGTTCTCTGCAGATAGAAATGATTTGCTGCTGGTGTGGTTGGGAGTTGAAATAGAGCACGATGATGGCTCTCGGTTTGAAGAGAATCACAAAGAAGGGACTGTTTTGTAGAAATCCATGTTTGCTCTTGATCAAATCTGGATTATTCTGTTATTCATGCCCAGTAAAGGAAATGCAACCTGAAGTATTGCTACAGCTTTCTCTGGCTGCAGGATCTCACACCTTCACATCACACCATCCTGGGATATGATGCTCCCCAAGTCTAACCGGCTGGATACACAGATCCAAACCCCACATCCATATCAACTTCTCTACGTCCAGTCTTCGAAGTATAACGTGAAAAAAAATGATACAAAAAGATCTTCTCCAACCAAGCAAATAACTGCAGGCAAACAAGCATTCTACTTAACGTTTCTAGACGTAATGCATTTGGGGTGGCAGAAAGGAACAGTTGATTATCGTCTGTCTTTGACAGGAAAACCATACCAATCTTTGAAAAACTGATGTAGGCATTATCCTGCATTCTGACATGAAGGAAAGCATTACGTGATTGCGTCTTTTCTCAGGAATGGGTAAACTGGCTTGGTGGTTTGGAAAAATACAAGCAAGCATATATTTTTTAATTATTACTTTTTTTTCCACAGACCACTGCCATTTTTGATTTGAGTGATGGCCAGAGCTAGAAAGGATAAACCACCACAAGACAAAATTTTCTCATAGCTTTTTTTTCTGCTCTGAAGCTCTGGAACTATCAAGAGAAACCTCATTTGTATAAAGTTAGTGTCAGATGATGAAGAACAAGGCTGACTGCAAAGCCAGGGTGCCACCCACATTTTGTGATGCTAAGTGACCGTGATTGGTAATGAGATAAAAGTGAATATCCACTAGTCAAAAAATAAATGGGAAAAATACTCAAATATCTCAAGAAGACTGCCACAGATGCTACAGAATGGATCCAATTCATGCTTTCCAACCCTCCCTGCAAACCCGCAGGCTGTGCTATTCAGCTGTGCCACTTCAGGGACCTGAAGCAGGGCCTCAGGTCCCTTTTTTGGGAAGGGTCCTGCATTTACACAATTTACAAGCTTTTCCCCGTGTCTTTATTCCTAACACCTTTACAGATCTCCTCTCACTGTGCTGAGCCCGTAACCTCCTCGCCGTGCAGCCAGCCATCACCTCTGCCCTGCCAGCCCGCACCATCCCTCTGCCAGCTTTGTCCCCCAGAACAGACTTGTCTCCTCCCAAGCTTTTCTGTAAGGCTGGGAACACCTTCCAGACAAATCTCAGCAGCCGCCCCTTTCTCCTCATTCCGAACTCTCCTTTTATTGCACTCCTGCCCAGAAAACTACCAACACAGCCAACAATGAACTGACATTCTCCTTCCTCCTCTCCTTATTCCCCACTTCTGCTCTCAGGGAAGCATCATTGTCCTGCTGGACAGGTAGGGCAGAGAAACGGTGCAAAATACGAGCACAAAGCACCGACACCACTGCTGCTGTGCGTGGAAGCGAGTGACCAGCAGCACCTCCAGAAGCTCTGGTATCACAGTGTGTCCAGACAGTCAGAAACCTCCCTCCCTATACTTAAAGCAAACTGTTTTCAGCAGAACCCGGTGCTTTCAGCCTTCGCCTCGAAAACAAACCCGTAGTATGAGAGCTGAAATGTCAGCACTAGTTAGGAGGAGGAAGCTGTGCATAAACCAGCACCGACGTACATCTGCTGCCGAGGAGAAAGTGGCTATTTTCTGCCGGCCTCGCCAGGAGCCGGAGCGCACAGCACATCGTCCCCCTCCAAGCAGATAGCTAGCTGGCAATTCGGTCAACCCTGAATTACATGCTGGAGTGCTAACTTCCCTTGTGGTCACAAAAAAAAAAAAGAAAGGCTTTAGAAACACCATTTTAAATTATGCCCAGGGGTATATTTAAAGAATAGCCAGCCAAATTCCACACTGCCTTCGAGCCTGCTGGAACGCCGCTGGGCTGCAGCAGGGCTGCGCGGCAGATAAGAGCGCGCGGCGCTCGGCCGATTAGTCTTAACCATCATTATATAATATTGATGTCACATTGAATATACATATATATCCTGGCACGGCGGCTGAAATTAAATTGATTTATTAAGCTGATACCGCGCACCAATGCCAAGTTACCAGGTAATTGATCAGCTGCCGAGAACGAACTCCAACATGTAATTTCCAGCGCAATTTGACTGATCAGCAATACCGTAATTGGTTGCAAATGTCCTTCCTTGTATTTGTTTTGTTAAGTGGCTTTTTCATTAACGCAGTGGAGCCAAGTAAATAAATACGACTTCACTATTGGGCTGAAGGCAGGCAACAGTTGAGAAATGGATACAGCCTGGGACGGGACCGGGCGATGTTGTGCAGCCAGCACTCGTTATTTACACTTTCTCAATTTTGCTGCATTTTGGGCCTCCCTTGCTTTAGATTTCCTTTTAGCAAAAGGGACGTGGCCAGCACTTGGCTCAACAAAAATGCAGGTCTATTGCATTTATGCCCTTAAATGCCTTAAGTGAATAGGTTTATTATTAAGCCTTCACATCTCTGCTTAGACTATGGTCCTCAGATGTCCCTGCTAGGAGAAGAAACCAAGCAAAGTCTCAAGGAATGGGTTCCTTGCTCGGGCAGGCAGCACCCAGGTGCCTGACCAAGCTGCCAAGCTCAGAACCAAACAGAGAGGTCTATCAGGAGGTGGCACCTTCCTCCTGCAACCCGTGCTGATGCCTTTGCCTACAGGATCCTTCAGTCAGAGCTACCACGGTGCACTTGCAGTCCCTAGCTCCACGTGGACTGAGCCCTGTAGTTGTAAAGACCAGGCAGTGCCAGCAGTGGTTAGAGGCTAAGTCACAAAACACCTGAAAATATTGATTCAACATTGCAGCTGTGAGCACATACAGTTATTTGAACGGGAGAAAGGTAAAGGAACGCCGCTGTGGCAGCAGCTACCCCATGAAATAGCCATGTGCAGCACTGGATTATCGTATGTCATTCCCATTTTCCAGAATGTGCACAGAACATTGTTTTCTGGGTGTGTAATTCCTTAGTGCATGCCTTTCAGTGTCCCTTCCAGCTCTCATTTTATCCCAGTCTATCGATTACAGCCCATTTCTGGCTATATTCTAAACATTTGTAACCATGCGAGACTGGACGATGAATAGCGGTTATCTGGTGACTTCCAGCACTGAAGCATTATTTCAGACCTTTCACTGTGAGTCACCACAACACGTTATAGGAGCAAAGGCAGTAAGAAAATCACATCAGAAAGAATAAAGGCATTGAGTCAGGAAAGAAGAACTAATCCGTTATTTCCAAGTGTTTTCAGCAGTTTAGGTCTTTATACCTTTGACACTTTTTGTCCACTGGACTCTGCCAAGTGGAATCATCGTTTTTCTTCTGGTAGCTCCTTGAAAACATTTGACAATGGTTTATACCAGTGTGGAAGAAATTAAAGGCTAAGCTACTTAAGCGATGGATGTTCTTTGAACCATCCCATTTAAATCTTCGAGATAGCAGCATGTTGCAAATTGGCACACTTCATTAGTGAGCCTTAAACCTATCCACAAAAGAAATCAGGATGAAGGTGGTCTGGATCTTCTTTTTTCTCCTCTCCTTTCCTTGTCATGTGCACAACTGCGAGGTCTGATCAAGGAGAAGGTGAAGACATCACCCTGACCCACATGGGACCCAAGCAGCACATGGCTGAGGTTTTGCATATGCTTTATGAAGAGCTCAGCACAGCCATTGCTCAGCAAATAACAAAAAGAAACAGGTTTGTAATTGGGATGTTCAAACAGCAGTAAGTTACTAGCATTTACCATGCCCTGGTGCTCGTAAAACCCAGGAACAGCACCCTTCGTGTAAGGGCCTGTCCCGTAGCCTCTGCCCCAGGTGCGTGCCCAGGTGTGCCGGGTCACAGCGAGCAGCGTGGGCAGCGTCTGGGTTGGCAAAGCCCAGCTCTGCAGCTCACAGCCACATGGGGTGCAGAGAGAGCGCTCCAAGGGACACACCAGGACACCCCTGCAGCATCCCAGGACACAGAGGGAGGTTCCTATAACACTCAGCCCCAGAGCAGCGTTTATTGCTTCTCTCACTGGAGCTGCTTTTCCAAAACTCAGATCCCAGCTCACCAGCACACTGCTCCCCAGCTCCTCAGGCAGAGCTCCCGGCGAGGTGAGCAGCGAAACCAACGATCCCTTTCCATGCAAAGCAACAAATGCCAGCTGACTGATAGGAAGGGATTCGTTAAGCAGGCTTTGAATATTTTCAGCCCGAGCTTTCATGGAGAAGCAGGTTTGTTCTAACAGCCACGGTGGGCTGAGGAAGGCTCGCCAGCCTCCAGTGATCCGTCAGGGCGCCGGCTGCTGCTTGGCAGGAGCCTCTGCTGGAGCACCGCGGAGCATCCATCCCTCCCTCGCAGCACAGCAGCAGCGCCAGTGACTAAGCAGATTCTATAAATCAAGCTGCAGCAGAGTTCAGAAGCCTAATAATAATCCGAAGATGTAAAAATAATAATAATGCGGTGGTTTTAGTGTTCAGGAGGTCACAGATAAGTGTAATAGGCCTTCTGATGTTGAGACTTGCAGCTTGGTTTCGAGCAATTTTAACACTCTATTTGATGTCTCGTCTTAGAGCGCTAGAAACTGGAATTAAACAACGCAATTAAAACGCAGCAAAGATGTAATCTGAGCTTATTTCTACTTCTATCCTTGCAGCTTCACCTTTCCCTCCAAACCCTTGGTCTCCTGCACATCAGGAGCACTCACAGCAGCCCCCTGGGCTCTGGGACGGGTTTGCTCCCCTGCAGGAGAGTGGCACCAGGGCACCCAGCGCGCCTGAATCGCTGCCACCAACTCTGCAGCCATCACCAAACAGTGCCGCGTACTCCACTTACTGTAACTGTCTCATTACTACTTTGTTTATATTGGTACAACTTAATCCAACTAAATACCATCACGAACCACAGCACATGAAGGCCCTGGCTATAAAGAGCTGCACTAAACGTAATCCTTCTCAAAGCGTCCTGCCCTCATACCTACCAATTTTCTACGATTACATCTGCGCAGCACATCTACACCGAAGGCTTTAGGGCCCTTTGATGTACATACACTGAGGCAAAATGCTGTGAAGCAGGCATGGCTTTAGACCGCAGGCTGTCCCGGAGCAGAAGAGTTTGTTACGTGTGTGCTCAGTGCCGAGCAAGATGAGATGCTGTGGCTGGAAGCAGCAGGAATTCCTAGGGCAGGATTAACGAGAATGGAGAAATATGGAGGGGGCCTCGTGCCACGGTTTCAGCTGCATCAGAGGAACCCATTTTACCAGAGCTTGAGGCCCAGCCTCCCTGAGGGGTGTTGGAGACAAGGCAACCAGGGCAATAATTCAGCTTTATGCCACTTCAGTGTGATGGTTAACTTATTACAACGCACAATTTGTGGATGGGGAAACTGAGGCACAGAGCTAAGGCTCTGTGGGTGCAGCTGGGGTACCCCACAGCCCCACAAGGCCAAAGGAGAGGCCTCTGCTCCACCTGGGCCTTATAGCCATGGCACTGTGCTGGGTTGTGGGGAATGCTGCAGAAATCGCTGCCTTTGTGTGCCCTATTTCCACACCTGTGAAAGGGGGATAACAATATCGTGAGGTGCTGAGCTGCCGTGAGTTATTACGGGAGCTGTGTAAGCTGCTATAAATACCTGAAGAACGAGGACATTCGGCGTCACACTAATAGAATATAAAGTCTACGAAGCCTTCGCATTTTAGAGATGAAGGCTTGAGATAACGACAGGAAGCTGCAAGAAGCCCTCGCAGGCCTTTTGCAGGCACTGTGCTCTCCTCAGGCCCAAAGCACGCTGATGGGGATGGCAGCACCCGTCCCACAGACACGGACCTCGGGAGCCTTGGGGCTGCTGCTGACCAAACCTCGCTTTCACAGGGAGGTTACAGCTTGAGGAGGGAGCAGCAGGGCTCTGGGGCTCACTTTTAAGTTCAAATCCAGCCAGTTTGGAGAGCCTTCGGGCAGCAAATAGGGGAAGGAGCAGAGCTGGGGAGCAGCAGGACACTGCATCCCACCAGGCCCCTGCTGCCAGTGCTGTGGTCCTCAGCCCCCAGCCTGAGCCCCGGCCACATCCCTGGGGATGCAGGAGTTCACTTTCCTCTCCAGAGCCTCAAAAAGAGCCCACCAACACCTCTCCACACACCACACGTGAAGAAGGCCTCCAGAGGAGGCTCAGGACTCCCGCAGGATCAAAGGGATGTAAGGGCTAATCCCCTTTCTCCTCGGGGCAATCCCCATCCCTGTGGAGGTTAATTTAGCGAAGAGACAGCAAAGGAACTTCATGTACTGTCTATTCCCATGCTGTGCCGGTGGCTGTGATGAGAGGGAAGGAATAAAGAAGCAGGGAAGCTGTCAATAATCCCATTCCTACTGCTATTACTGCCAGACAGATGATATATTATGTTGACAGCAAAAGGGAGGCACCTCAGGCAAAAAAAAAAAAAAAAAAATACCACGAAGACTATTTCGCCACCCCTGACCTTGTCAGGCAATCCTTGTTCCTGGTGAGATGTTTCAGTTTTGATTCAGCTGTTTTTGGCAAACAGACCCACATCTTTTCAAGCTGAGGGGCTGCAGCAGCTCTGCCAGAGCTGCCATCGAGTGCACCTGAGCCACGTGGGGGGGAGATTAAGAGGAACTGTAAATCTCTGCCACTAATTGCAGCCTGCCTGATTGACCAGCATGGTCTTCTTCACAGGTCAGTCAGTGGAGCTGGAGGACAGAATATCCCAGACTGCGCTCCCAGCACAAGGGAGGATAAAATACACTGGGGAAAGAATCAGTATGCTCCTGCCTCCACTGCTGGCATTCCAGCTGAGCTTCATTAACCTCAAATTATTCCAGATTTATCAGTTTAGGTAACCAAAGAACTTAAGCTGTATTCTGCAAAAGTGGAATAGTAAACTCTTGGCTGGGCTGCTTGCTTTGCCTGACACCCACCAACACCATGGCCAGGGCATGAGCAGTCCAAACACACTGGGACCATCACTGGTGTCACTTCAGTAAAATCTGAATACATTCCCACCTCTTTGTGCACAAACATAGCCAGATGGAAGCACTGTCCTAGCAGAGATGCTGTCCAGCTCCCATTTATCATTTCAAAGTTCCCAATAACTGATTTTTCAAACACCAGTTCTATTTTCAGAGGAAGGCAATGAAAACTCAAGCCCCTGGGCAGAGCTGCCCTTAGACTGGCAAAAGAGTGCCTTGGAGGATGGAAATGGTGTATGCAATAAGGCACTTAGAAACAGGGAAACCTCCAAATTATAATTGCCAACACTCAACTGTCAATGAAAAGGGATCAATTTAATTATCATCCTCTTCTTTTTAACGTGTTCATACATATCCACAGAAACAGGAGAAATCTGCATTGAACATATTAGGACATGATGAAACCCCATTCTCCAGGAATAGACTCTGTAAGACCATGCTCACAAACATGTCACAAAACAGGGCATTTACCTTTGAGTGTCCCACTTAGGTAAGTTAAGAAATTATTTGATTGGCATTCTGTAATTGAGTTATTTACAGGCAAGACATAAATACCAGCATCAACTATGTAGTTTGTACTTACACCAAAATGTAATTTGTTAGCGAGGAACAGATTATTATTATTTTTAAAGTGCTTGGACATTATAGAAGTTCTGGCAGTATTTTCCTAAGTGTCTCAGCTCCCCAGCCAGTGACACCAGCCCTCAGGTTCCCCAGCTGTACTGCTTTGCACCTGACAGTTTATCTAGAACCACAGCAGTTTCCACTCTGGCACGTACTCCAAGTCTCTTTTTTTGGCCACATCCTCAGCCTTTCTGGGAACACGCTGCCTTTTTCCACTTACTGTTTGTCCCAGATCATGACAACAGAAGAGGAACATTTAGGCAATGCAGACCCACGTGTGCACACATGACTTTTGTTGTGTTTGTGCCACTCCTGTGGACAATCTTCAAGCCCAAGCCTGACTTGTGCATATTAAACACAATGTGCCTTGCAGATGATATCCAGCAACTATAGACACAAATAACAAAGGGCGATTTCTAGAGTGTTTTCACATACAGAGCAGGATCTCTCAAATTTTCCTCAAAATAAGTAGTCTTAGTTTCAGTAAGAGTTTCTTCCATCAGCTTTTGCCATCCAGAACTGCTGCACAGTGATTTAACTGCACCGCATCTTCCTGAGGCTTCATCTGCTGGAACTACTGGAAAAATATGCTAAAGATTTTCCTGTCATTCCTCTGGGCTTAATTCTTATTAATTTGAGTGTACTGCTATAAAAAGGATAATTTCACTGTAATATTGATTAATTAATGGTCAATTAGCGCTCATTAAGGTGAAGTGGCAAACTCAGAACTGATAAAAAGTGCTTCGAGATTTACTAGAAGAGGTCACTGATGCTCATAAATCAGAAACAGCCAAGGAGAGACCGGAGTCCTGTACAGACAAGTATACCCAGAGCCACCTGCTAGGCACTGATTAAGATTTAGACAGGTCCCTAAGTATTTGTGAGGCCGCATGTATTTCACTAACACTGATCTCAATCACAGGCATTTGGTTAGGAAAGCAGCAGCTTTTGGAGACACTGATGGCAGAGCTATTCGGTTGCATCAGGACTCACCTGACCCCAGCACAGAGCCAGTTTCAGCCTTTTCCGCCTGGTGAACAACTCAGAGCAGGGAGGGCACAAGGGGCAGCCACAGACAAATGCAGTAAGCGAAGTGTTCGGATCTAAAAGCACCTGGCCTCTGGGGAGCCCAGGCCCTGAAGCAGCACCTCCCAGCTCCCCGCTGAACCCTTGCTCGTGGTACCTTGTTCCTTGGCACTGCTGTCATGGTTTTCATGAAGCAGACACACAAAACTGTTCGCTTGGGGTTTGTCTAACCTTCTGGGCAACTGTTCACAGAAACCTGGTATTTTCCCAAGGCTTACCTCTAATCACCAAACTACTACAGCTCCACGGCCCTCCTGGCCAGCTGCAGGACCCTGACCCCAGATTGCTTTGGTGCCCACCCAGCCGTTTCTCAGGCACCTTCAGTACAGCTCCAGCCATGCTCAATCCTACCCCACCTCCTGAAACACATTTTCAAGCTTCCAGCATGCACTTGTTTCCTTTTATTTCATCAAAGACTTGAATTTCTTTTCAGCAACGTAATTTGTCAACACATTCAGTTTATAAGAAGGAAAAATGTTGATCAAAGAAGAGCAGGTAACTCTTATTTACCATGCGATAGCAAACCAAATTGCTGCTCTAGCTTCACGTTAGCAGCTCCACATTTAGTGCTTTTTCAGCTGCAGTGCACTCTCCAGCTTAGGACGGACAATTTAACAGCCAGAGGGAGGGCTCCCCCCCAGACAAAGCGCAACGGCAATGCCACGATGCACAAAACTGACTTGCAGCTGGTGATTAACCCCAGACAAAATACAGACTTGTACCTGATGCAGGAAGACCAGGGAGCAATGCATAGCTCTGCAGGAGCTTCGCAGTGTGTTCCTCTGCCTGTCAAGGGAGCAAAGGAAGGAAGAAAGGGTGGTAAACACAAACTAAAGCAGCAAATAGCAGGGACCATTGAAATTTAGATTCAAATTTCAGCTCAGATGAAGCAATGAGTGTGAATAACATAGGGCTTGTCACAAATTGAAGCCTGAACTTAATTGTTTCCACCTCCCTTTGGGCATTGCTCCCTCAGCACAGCTCCAGGCAGATGTAGCAGCACCAGACCCCAAACCAGGAGCTCCCACACACCCCAAAGCCCCCGTGAGGTCCTTGGGGAGCTCCTCTGTGCCCACAGCCCCACACTTTGCATTCACTGCTCTCTGCAGCAGGGGACAGCCAAGGCAGGGTGTGCACAGGCACCTGGCCAGGCCCAGCTCCCATAGGCCCACCACAGCAGATCTGAACATAAAGTGACCAACACTGCCTCCTCTACGAAGGTATCAGGCCTTAAAAGACTGCTCTGCAGACATCTCATCCTCTTGTAACACTGACATCCCTGGATTTCATCAGGGATTTCTGGGCCAGTTGGTCAGATGGCATCTCTCACATTTAATTTTTTTTTTTTTTCCTAGACTTCCCAAGCACCTCATGTACAGAGCTCCTACATCAGCTGGAGCCTGCAGCTCCTCCAACCACCCCACATCCCACCACAGGACCCTGGGGCTGAGCTTAAATGGGCTCCTGGGCGCTGCTGGGGGTGTGGGTGATGCCCCAGGTGAGGCTGCTCAGGGCCACCGATGCCGGGAGAGCCCTCACCTGATGCCTGAGACCCTTACGGTGCTGAGTCTCCCATTCCTCAGCAGCAAAGTACCTGTGGCAGCACTCATACTGTGCTCCAGGCTGCAATAAACCCAGCCCGGCTGGGTTAGCAGTGCGCTGTAGGAATCTGCTTCCCATTTTCTATACGAGCTGTAAATAATGCCCAACAGTCAAGGTACCCGTGAAGGAGGCAGAGGCACTGCACTGTCACGAGGCGAGGCCACCTCGTTGCTTACGGCTACATCAAAGGCAGAGTCGCTTCCTTCAAAGGCAGACAGAAGACTTTTTTTTCTTTTTCTTTTTTTCTTTTTTCTGCAGAAATCCACACCCTGACTCCTAAGCACATGTGAAAGGGAGGCTTTTTCAACTTGTGACTTAAGTGACTTGAAACAAATCAGATGTTGAACCATATGGGTTTAGGGCTTTTTTAGACTGTAAACTTTTTTCATTACAGATAAAGCTAATGGTCCAGCTGATGACTCAACTGCGTGCTCACGAGCTGCAGATGGGCAGAGCCAGGCAGACGCATACGAATTGCTGATTAAATTGCAAAAGGCAATTCTGTGATATTTCTGCTCTGCCCAGCGTTGCTCCCCCATACTACTGCATCAACCCTATTTTAAAAAACAGACGATCATTCATTCTCCACAGTCCCACTCGTTTGCCATTCAGAGCTGCGATTTCCAGGGTTTTCCATTGGGTAGGTTTGTAACAGAGCAGGCAAGAACCACAAATTTCAAATTACATCCATGCATACGTTCGTACACACATAGGGATATCTGCCTGTACCTAACCTGGCAGCATCCAACGGAGCAGTGGTAACTTAAGTGAAAAACTCGAGGAATTAAATGCAAAGGGAGGTTTGAAGGGGGAAATGTTGCGTATCACAAACCAAACTGTGGCGCACCAGCAGAACAAAACTGTTTGTACCAAGAAATTGCTCAAAGAGACAGAAGGAGATGGAACTGTGCAGCTTTCATCCTATCTGGAATTAAGGCAAAGAGTCTTTTTTTCACAGTAAAATAATGTTCCTATTTTGATGAGGAACTACCTCTCTAATAACTGTAGAGACATTTTACGATATCAAATCATCATAAAGCAGAATAAAAAGTGATTGCTGTAATTAAGCATGACCAGAAGTTTGCTGTTAAGGAAAAAAAATGTCCATGATGAGTGTTCCAACAGTGCTGACGTGCATCTGTGATGAGGCAGGAGCTGGACTTTGCAGGTTTCTTGCAAACATAAAGGTGTGCAATCCGCCAGTCCTGTACCCTGGTTCCCTAAATACAACTGCACGTACATCACACCCAAACGCAAAGATACTACATTATATAGATTTGGTTCAAAATATCACACATCTGGCCAGTTTAAGTAGAAAATGAGGCAAATAAAAAATGACCTTTAAATTTCAGTCTTCTGCTGCATTTTGCATTGCTTCTTTTCACTGCTGTTCCAGCATAGTAGAAATCTGCACGTTAATCCCCATTAGCTCTGCAAGCTTTACTGAGTCGGAGTGAATGTTTAAATTGCGTGTTACACTGAAACTACCACTCCAGTATGTTCAACAAAGAAATCAGACATAAGAAAGCTGTACTGTAAATATTTGAAGAAGTACAAGGTGCAAGTATAGTTAATAGCATACTTTCGTAATATATCATCCTATGGTTACATTATTTTGGCAACAGAATAATGTTTTATAACCGAGACAAATAAACCTGACCCTTTTTAAAAAGGGCCATATATTACAAACTGAATAGGTTTAAAATTCAGTGCGGAAATTGCCAAAATTTCGATAACTGCTTGCAGCGTATGACAGAGAGGAGATATCAGTGTGGATCTGTACACAGGGCTTTGACTTAAATCACTATCCCCATCAATTAACACCACATTATGAGCCTTGTGAAGAAATTAAGTCATTTTAACATCCTGACCTAAGCTGAGCCTGGCAAGAACCACTGGGCCTGGCTCTGTTTTACCTGCAGCAAAGCCACCTACCTTACAGCCTCTGCAACCATCTCACCAGATGATAAACTGAGGTCCTGGGTTTTCATTTAGAACAGGATCTGTCTTGCTTTATACTTTATCTGTCCGGGCATTATTTGGCCAACAGGCCGAAGGGGCTGAGACACTGATCTTCAGAAGGGGGGAATTGCCCTCTGGATGTGTCCGCAGCAGACCTGCCATCGCTGCATGAGATGACCTCCACCTGGAATTTTCTGAGACCACCCTGAAGGTAAAAGGTTCCTGGGATATCCGTCCTCCAAGCAAACAACTCCTGCGGGCCAGCCGGCTGCTGTCCTCCACAGGAGAGGGCACGGCATCTCCCGAGCACATCGAGATGAAAATTACTGATCAGCTGTGAAATATTATTACATGGGTAACATCTTCATTTTTTCCCCGAGCTCCTTTATTCCAGACTGATGAATTGCTGCAGAGGAAGGTGGCGATCTCTGAGGGTGGCCAGCTTTTTCAGCCAGTGAGGAGCAGCAAGAACCTCTGGGGCTGTACATGTCCCTTTGATCCCAGATATACCTTGTAGAGGATCCAAGGCTGAGCTGGAAGGGAAAAGCAAAACCTTAGCACCATTAGGAAACCTTTCCCCTTTCCATGCATTCACTGGCAGCAAGGACATGAGGACCTTGCCATCTAAGAGGTGATCCAAGCCCCCCAAATTAGTTTTTGAGAGGTACGAAGAAGCTTACCCTGGTGCCCTTCACCAATTCTGGTGTTTGCCTTGTGTTTTTAACATTACATTGGATCGTTAAACTTGAAAGGATGCTTTAAAATGGGTAATGTTAGATTTTAATTTTCCTCTAGATTATCTTTCAAAGGAATTATAAAAGAAAGGAAAATGCTACAAGGGGAGAAAAAACAAAATATCACCAGTGTCAAAAGCCTGACAGAAGTCAATATATTTGACATCTAATGTTTTCCTTCTACCCACATGGTCTGTTAGTCTTTAAAATGAAATTAGAGTACTTTGACATGATTTGTTCTTGGCAAATCTGTATTGGCTGTTGCTCATCTTCTTATTTTCCAGGTTTGTGATTATTTGTTCCAGCATTTTCCTGGATTTTGAGGGTAAGCTGCCTGCTGTACAATTCTCCTGCTCCTTCTCCTCTCACCTCTCCCACCCGTTAAAGATAAGCAATACATCAGTCTCCTGGTATCACCCCAGTCCTCCATGCATTCAGAGACACCATCAGTACTCCTGAGATTACTAAAGCCAATTCTTCCTGTACTCTAGGATTAAATCAGTCTCAGCCAATTTAAAAAGCTCCAATTTATCCAAGAACTCTTTAACCTGTTTTTCCCCTAATCTAGGCTGAAATGTTTTTGTTTGTTTGCTAGTATTGTGGTAGCTGCTTATTCAATGTTTACTTTTTGTTGAAGACTGGAGAAAAAGACTTTAACTCCTCTTGTTTTCACTGATGAGGAGTTTTCCTCTTTACGAGGTACCTGACAAATCTTTAATTTGCTCTTCCTCCTGTTATTAACAGGTTTAAGAATCATTTGTTGTTATCCCTGATGCCTCTTGCTAGCTGCACTTGATTTTCTACCTTTTCCTTTTATACTTTGCCCTTGGATGGACAAGCAGCCCATTCACTCTCATTTCTTCATTACTAATAACCCTTTTTCCTGTAGGTTTTAGGCCCTTGTCCAGGTCACTGTGGGTCACCTAGTCCATTGTGCCCTCAAATTTGTTTTCTGATATTGGCAAGTCTGAACCAAAAGATACGTGGATTTTTTGTTCAGTATCAGTGTCATTTGTACGAGACAACTCAGGGAACAGCCCCTGGCCCCATGTGAGTCAGAGCTCTCTCGGCAACACCCCCAAAGAGCCGGGTGGTTTTATGGCCATGCTGTGTGGCTCACGAAGCTGCAGAGGCAGGCAGAGGTGTCCCACAGCGTTCTGCATTGCTCTGCAGCTGCGGCTGCCGGGACAGCCCACGGTACAAGGTAAGGGTTTCAGACTGGGCTCTCTCTCGAGCTGGCTACAACTTCTCAAGCATTCACGCTGCCAGAGCTCGGTCTGAGTTTGCAGTTCTCTGGCTATTCATCATTTTTTCCAAGGGTCATGAAGAAGATATCGTTGAGCTGGCAGTGCTGATCCTAGGACACACCAGGGATTTCACTGTACCAGGAACTCAGCTATAAGTCTGCTTTACACATCTGGAGCAATGGAAATAGCCTTAATTGAGGCTATAAACTAGCTCACGATGACACTTTCTGCCAGTTCTGTGTATCACAGAGGATATGCATGCACTGAAAAGTCCTAAATCATTTCTAGGCTGGGGCATAAAATCAATCTATTTAAAGACGTTGTTTAAGAGAAGGGGTTCATTGACTACTGCCTTCCACTTCCACTAGTAGAGGCTCAATGGTGTGTATAGACATACCCTCCGTGGAGTTTTTTTTTCCCACAGGTTTTGTTTCAGCTGCTCCTGTATCAAAGCTCGGAGTGGTCAGCTCCCCTTGCTGCATGATTTTCCAGAGGCTTGTGTCAGCAGCGAGTTTTAGTCAGGGTAAAGATCAAAGGCTTTGATCTGCATTCATCTCTACTTGACTAAAAGGAAGCCACATCTGGAGAATTTATCTAATTCTGCAAGCTATAAATATGTATGTTTTTGGTACTATGTAATTAATCAAACGGCTTAAACAGAGTACATGTGCTAACCTGCAAAGATGCCAGATCGCAAACTGTAGGAACTGATGAAATATCTTCTTATGCATATTTCTGTGTACCTCTAAACCACTCGGAGTTTCGGCGCTTTATCTTTGTTTCAAGTGAACTCCGTACCAAGGGCACATGACTTCGCGGATCCTTAAGAATTAAGTCATTTATTTCTACATAAAGGGCAGCACCACGCAGTCGTTTCCTACCCAGGAACACCACAGAGCTGTGACTTGCAGAAGTGTGAATCAGAACACTGTGCAGGCAGGGGCCTCAGTATAAAACATGGATCTGGTCTGCTTTTGAGTCCTGAATTTTTCATTCTCAAAATCTGGACCAGCTCACGTGTCTGGGACCCAGCTCTGATTTTTCCCATTTACTCCAAATCAGCCGTAAATGGCACAAAGTTTAATCTAATCAGGCAGCACTCTTAAAAAACTGTAATCAGGCTCCAGTGGTGACTACCTGCTTTATTCTACTAAATACGCCTGATTTGATACCTAGACAATCGGAACTCCTGATTAGCTGAATACGCCACTCATGATTATTTTTAAGCTTGTGTACTCGTGCTGCAGGTCTTTCAAGAGGATGCAGTCGTGTTATTTCAAGGCCATACCTTGAAGCTGTGGAATACGTGCAGCTGCTGGAATGGACGAGGCACGCGTTTGCAGACTGATGGCCAAGGTCTATGCTGGGAAACGGACGGGTTGGCAGATGCGTCGTCTGGTTGGGAACCGCTCCCAAAAATTCTGAAGACAAGAGCTGGAAAAATGAGTAATGAGGAGCGCTCAAAGATGCTCCCAAAACAAACAAGCAAACAAACAGGCAACGTGCTCTGCACCAGCCGGGACAGCCTGCCAGTTTTGACTCTTTAGCGGACTATTGCTAACAAATCTCTGTGTGGCCTTCAGCTGGCAGGCTTAAGACCAGATTCTCCCAAGAAATAAAGCTCAGAAAAAAATAATTTTCTTTGTAGTCATGACTGTCAGTGGAATAATTTCTCTCTTTTAAAACTCCTTTCCCACAAGGTGGGGGGAAATGACTGTAATGAAACGCAAGTACCGAGGAGCAGAGCAGGACAGCTCTCAGTATCCAAGCAACACAGACACTCTGATCATTATTATTATGATTTCACCTTTTAAAGAATCCCCTGTATATAGCTAACTTTCGATAATGTGCCTCGTTAATATTAATTAAATCTCACAACTCCTGTGCGATGCAGCTAAGCCAGACAGTTTTGAGCTGAAAACCAGGAAAGTTGCGTGACTGAAAAAGGCACGGACGGCTGTAACAAAGTCGGGGTGGATCGAGCACTACTTCTCCTGATTACCTGGTCTTCTGGGTCAGGAGAACATGAAGCTGCCTCCTCCCCGGCACCAGGAGCTGCTGCTCCTCATGTTTTTGCAATGAGGGGTTAAGGTTTCAGCCGGCACCAACAACCACCTGTAACTGCACCCTGCATCCAGAACAGGAGGAAATGGAGGAAACATACCACAGATCCAGCACTTTTTGTACTTCTAAGCTTTTCCGTGACTTTAGAGCAATTTTAGAGCGAGATCAACTAGGCCAATTTACAAAGCAAAACCCTTTTCCTCCTGTCTTCAGAGGACACTTGGGAAAAGTTTTGTTTGCTATGTCTGTCTGTGCCAAATCCTTGCTACAGGCTCTGACCAGACACCTTTGGGTTATCTGCTGGCACACCCCGAAGCAGAGGATGATGCTGAGGAGGAGGAAAAATAAAAGGACTTTTTTCGTGCTTAGTCATTAGAAGGTCAGCCTCCTGGGGACATATCTCCTTACCTCTTTGCCGTATTTACAGCAGGATACTCGCAGATCTCTAATTGGTATTCTGTTGACTCAGTATTTTCCTTGTCTGTTCACACCCATCACTGGGTAATGGAAATTTGATTACCGACAGTTTGCTCCACAAGAAAATAAATGTAATGCTTTTAAAGGGTATGCTTTCGTGGAGTCCATCCATTCCACTTTTTTCATTACCTGGCTTAGAGTAATTAATCATTATGAAGCCGTGTGTGCTGAGTTTGGGCAGAAGAGAAGTCTGGACAGTGAAAGGCACATTTCAGACCGGGTCTCTGGGGTTTATTTCACCAGATTTTGCATGCTTGACTGGCCAAGTCTGCAGTATGAAAACCTAGGGGCAACACAAAAACTATAGGTCTATGCTAGTTGGGAAAAATAAATCTGATGTTCTCAAATTTATCCCCAGGGCTGCAAAGAAAGAATTACTTAATTTGTACGGGGTGATTAATAATTAGCAATGAACAGTAACTGTGGAATCATCCCAGGAGTCAGAAACATCCTGCACAAGGAAAGCAAACATGATGAGAAGTGTGCTGCTACATAGGTGCTTCGGCAGATAGACTTCCTTTACAGCACGGAGCTGCCAGACCGAAGACAAAAACAAAACCCCCAAATGACGAGGCAGCCAAAAATAAAGGAAGAAAACTGCTCGATCTGCATGGACGTACCGGTGAACGCAGTCTCACCAGCAGTAATTCTTCAGGCTAGGAGTGTAAATCTGCACTAACCCCCAGATGGAAAAGGAAAGCCATCCTTTGCACTGAATACAATCCGAGAGCCAGCTTTGGTAGATGCATTGAGATCGTACTGATGTCTGATGGGGCTAACCTGAGGCATAATCCCATCCATACTTGGCTTCCCTGGCCTCCTGCATGAAGTAGCAAGGCTGTGCACGGCGTTTTAACAATGCCTGCAGGAGTTGTACACAGGGCTGTAGGGAAAAGCTGTCTTCATCTCCCATCTCAAGATCATTTTGGCATTTCACAGGAGACCCGAGGCTGCCGATAATGTGCCTTCACCCTGCTCACAAGCAGCCCCGTCTGGGACTAATCCCCCAGGAACAAGGCAGCTTGTCCTGCCCCGGGTGGAGGCGAGAAGTCACAAAATCATCCAAGCCTTGTGGGGCCACAGCCACCTGCCCTTGGCAGGGCTTAGGGGAGGGACCTGCTGTGTACAAAACCACCAGAGGGGTGACAGCATGCGAGGAAGGTTTCAGTACCAGGTGCAAAATACAGCTGCTGAATTATGCCGTGTTCAGCAGCTGGAAATGGCCAGCGGGGACCTCTGCTCCCCCTGTCTTTGTAGGGTCACTTCTCACGCCCGTCCCGCAGCCCTCTGCCTACCAGGAATGCCCAGCCAGAGCCAGATTCAGGCACGGTGATTTTGGTAGAATTTAGAGGCTGTGAACTGCAGGCTGTGTTTTACCTGCACATGCTCATACATAGGAAAAACCATAAGAATTGTCCAAGCAGTGTGGCAGCCAGACACTGTATAATTATTTGTTCCTGGAGCAGCCCTACAGCCCACGAGGGCTGAGACGCTGTCCCCAGAAAGCGGAAAATCCAAGCAGCGGTGGCACTCTGAGTGGCTTTTTGGTTTAATATGTAAAGAGCACTTGTTATTTCAGGCAGGTGGCTGTCCTCAGCCTGCCTCTGGTCGATCTGGGAGGGATTGGGGCCGACAGAGGCCGAGGTGCTGCTGCGGATGGGCTCTGCAGGCACCCACCACGGCCCCGCGCAGGGGCTCGGTTACAGCGGGGAAGGAGCTCCTGCATTCCAGCCGCTGTCAGACTGCCGGGTACTTGAAAACCACCCTCACTTCAGCTCCGCACTTAAGGGTACTTCAGTTTATAGTTTAACCCTTCAGGAATAATGACTGAACAAGCACGCTGTGTACAGGGCTCTCAGAGGAGCGTCTGAAAGAACCACAGGGCATTTACTCCTCCGTAGCCCAGGCAGATACACAGATTGAAGCAGAGCATTAAACGTCTCCAGGCCCTTCAGATCCCACACCATCGCTCAGCCTCTGCTCTCAGGCTGCGGGATGCTCTCTGGGCTCCCCATTAAGGGTGTTCCCCCGGCCCCGCAGCGTGTCTGCCCCCAGCACTCGCGGCTCCCTGCACCACCAGACACGTCCCCTCTGAGCAGCACTTACACATCTGGCTTCACTCCTTCCTGCTGCAGATTTTCCACTCCTTACAGAGAACAGATCTCCCCCGCCTGTCACCAGGTCAGCATCCTCGCCTGCTCCCAGGACAGAGGATTTTTACAATTAATGACACCCAGGTGCTCCTCGCCAACCCTTCAAGCCCAGGCCCAAAGCAGCCCACGTGCATTTGGACTTCTAGTGACTTGCTGTGTCCATTCCTCCCGTTTGTTTTGAGTCTCTGCAGTGCAATTAATAATTAATTAAGTACTTCATGGCACTTCTCTGAAGCTTTCGGCAGCTTTCAGATGGAGCAAGTCACCGAATTATTATCGTAATCACGCCTGTGCACACCAGTGCGCCTTTATTAATTGAGTACCCAGCCGGGAAGATTTCAGGCCTGATTTAAGCAAGGTGTGAACTAAGAATAACTTGGAAACATCTCACAAAGGTGCTGTCACCCGGTGTCTACACCTGCAGAGAAGACGTTTGTGTGACGTGGGGGAATCAGAGGATGGATCAGTTGAGGGGAGACAAGAGGAAACCCTGCCCCTGAGGATGAGAGAGACGGGGAGCAAATCATTTTTCTGGGGAGTAAATAACCACAGTTCCTGTCAGAAGGGCTGCTCTAGCCATAAGCTAGTGAGGAGATGAAAAACTGCCATCAGAATGAAAAGTGCTAGAAGCAGCAGAAACGCATGCAACTGAAAGGTTAGCAATTGGGTAGGAAAAAGGAGGAAAAAAAAAATGCTGCAGAATCTTCGCTCTCAGCAGAAATGTAGGGAAAAACCTAGCAGACTGTTTAAAGAAATCGTTTAGAGCGATTTTCTCTCCTCCTAAGTTATAGCGCACGTCCTCCTGCCAGCTGAATGAGGCAGCCTTTTTGCTGATGCAGAACACATCCCGCCCGTTCATTTCCAGTACAATGCCCGGAGAATTAGGTGCACGATTCCTGTGAGCGAGAATGGAGATTGCACACGTCTCCCTCCCTGCTGCACATCCCCGCATAAATAACGGGAAGCGTGGGGCAGAGGACGCCGGACACATCGCTCCTGCTCTGGGTTATCGGGTGTTGGAGGGCTACAGCTGGAATCTGCTAAAACAGGGGAAATATTTCTCTGCTATAGCTGTTCCTCCTATCTACCATTTACAAGACTGATGACCAGCCTCAATATGCAGCAGTTGAATACAAATCAGCCTGCTAGCTTTGTGTTGTGTGAAAACAGGGAAAATAAACGCCTGAATTTTACCTTCTCCGGGAATAACGCAAACAGCAACACGGTCACATGCCTGGCTCCCAGCGTAATCTCAATCAGGGCACAATTCAGCTCTGATGGGCTTTTGTAAATATGTAACTGACCTTTCTAAGCGTGTGACATGGGCTTCAGAGCGGCTCCGCTGCCTTCAATACCTGCCTGATCCTCCGAGGTGATGAGCTCCTTCAGCGCTCGGAGAACTCATCAGGATTTAAGGCCAGGCAGACTCGCAGAGCCGGGCCCTAAGTCCTCAATTCAGAATCCATGAAACAAGCATGACATTGATCCCGGCCTTTGATGGACACACGGCTCTAGCTGGAGGCAGAGCGAGATTCATTGACTTGAGGGATAGAAATGTGTTTTTTATTTTTTTTTTCTTCTGACAGAAAGATGGGAAATGTCTTAGGAGAAAATGTTTCATGAGAAAATATTTCATGACAAGACTTCCAACCTGGAAGCAGGATTATAACGTCTGTTTATAGCTTCTTCTAACTGGATTTTTTCCCTTCTATCAGGAAAATTGGACGTATGGCTCTCTGACTGAAGGGCACGGAGGCGCAGGGACCACCAGAGCCCTGCTGGAGGGGCCAGCACCCACCAGCAACGCCTCAGGCTGCTGGTGGTCAGTGGGACACACCTGGGTTCTGTAATCACCAAAGTCCTGCACGAAGAAAATGTCCCTGTGTTCACATCCCGTAACCCCAGTTTCCGAATTGGTCGACAAGAGAGAGAATCTTGCAGTGAATAAACCGGGCCAGATTAGTTCTGGAATTGCAGCCTATAATAATGAGAGGAAACTGCTGGTGGTGGAAAGGCTCAGATGGTTCAAAAGACGCACGGCATCATTTCATTCTTTCGCTGTTGAAATAAAACAAGCTCGCAAGGGAACAGACAGACAAAATTGAGCAGTCCGCGTGGCTAAAACGTGCTACGCTCCAGGCTCTCATCAAAAGCCGCCTTTGTGGCACGTCCACGTGTTTGTACAATCAGGGCACTCTGAGGCTATGCCAGCTACAAATTCTGTCTGTCTTGCAGCTCTGAAGAGGAATAATTTCCATGGAGCACCCGGCAGTGTCCCCGCCTGGAGCTGCCGTCTCTGAGCCTCTCGGCGCCTCTATAAATAGCAGAGCAGCAGCTCACCTACTCCGAGCTCCCCGCACGCTCACTTCACTTCGCTGCCTTCCTGTTTGGTAAAGCTGTCACCGTGACTCAGATTTCCCCTATCAGATTCTCTGCGCGGGGAGATTCCCAGTATGTTATATGGCATCGCGAAGCTATTAAGCGACTTAGGTTTATATCGCCTAAGCTGCTTAGGTTTATATCAGCAGAAGTGATGTGCTTCTGAAGATCTTGACGTTTGAAGCAATGTCATTACTGTTGGAGGTCTTCAGAGCTCCAAACCACTTAAGCTAACGGAGAGGGTCTCCATCGTTTTGACGACAGTGCTGAGTGAAATAGTGTCAAAATCCCAGACAAACTGCATACACAAAACCAACGACGAACACAAAGCTATGACCACCAAGTTCCATGCAGGACCGCAACATTTTCCTGATCTACTTGCAAAATTCCCTGCCATGCAACGCGTTACTCATACTCCTAGTCCCCGGCTAACCAAATATTATTTACACTGTAAAACAAAATGCTCTCTTGCTCTTTGGTTAAGAAACACAGTGATGAAGAAAGATGTGAATTTCACTGCCAGCACCCATTTTAATAGATTGTTAATTTTCAGGCTTTATTAGAGTGGTTGAAGTGACTGGAACCAGTGCAATCCTACCTCCAAACTCCTGTAATGGCATTGCTCCTGTATTCATCAAAGCGCTGGATTGTTTGTACTAGAAATCTCCAGATAACCTGCTTACGCAGTGACGTTGGAGATATCTGTCAGGCCCTAATATTTCATTTCCTGCATAAATGTTTCATAGGCT